AGTCTTCTAGCTCAGTACATATTTTCACCCTCTTTATTCCTGTGCGTTATCAGTACATCTGCAGTTTTCACCATACTATTTCGCGGGTAAACTTTCACAGCTTTGAAGGCGACTTGTACCAACCCCATGGATCATCAGATACATATTCAGTAACCTGCTTCACGGTCAAGTAATTATCAAGCCCCCTGTTCAAAAGAGAAGAAACTATTATTACCATCCGCAGTTCATCGATCTTAATTTGCAGAAGAAACTGTAATGCAATGTTCGTTGTTCTTTTATGCTTAGTTCGGATATGTAGTGTGATTATATTAGGCCCAAAATATATGCAATATCAACGGAACATTATAACACAATGCCGAGAAAGCCATACCATTTCCCTAATTCACGCCCAAAACCACTTCGTTTGTTGCCTCCCCATGGAGCCTGACAGAAGCATGGTTGCGAGCAGTTTATCCATACAATTCCCGCTTGAAGGGCCTGCAGAAGAACAAGAAACACAACTCATAATCAGATGCTGTTTTTACGAATGCTGGGGCAGGGATGATCCATTCACAAAAGAAGTATAAAGAAGTCTCACCTTAGAGACACGCTCACACCTTTCTAAATCTTTCGATATGACTGCAGCGCCTAAGCCATAACTGTCAAAGTTCAATAAACTTCATCAGTCAAAATGGGACAAAAAAGGCAGTCAAACAAATCTCTCACTATGGACACGACAGAAATAAGAGTCAACTCACTGGCTGTCGTTTGCTAGTTCAAGAGCTTCGTCTTCTGAACTAAATGTTTTGACACAAAGAACAGGTCCGAAAACTTCTTCTCTCCAGATTTGCATGGAGGTTGTTACATCAGTTATGATTGTTGGTTCAATGAAGAATCCTTTCTTTAGATGCTGCCATCCACCAATAATATAACTCACATATTGAGTTTGTGACAAATAAAGCAGCAGAATGGGCTTGATGGAAACATAGGTTTATACCTCAGGACGAGCCCCACCACTCAAAACTCTTGCGCCTTCACTCTTAGCTGTTGCGATGAACTTCAATATTTTCTCGTACTGAAACAGATCCAGTGAAAATCAGGTAATATTCTAGTACTTCAATTATAAACTGGACAGTGAAATTAAAGATTTGAACTACTTGATGTTACTAACTGTTTGACTTTTGCATATTTTTGTATCTGAAGAACACACGTATAATTATCACCCAGAGAAAGTGACCTATATGCCCTGATGCATGTCAAACCGTAGGGACTCATCTTTATAACAAACATAAAATACAATTTATCAGCCTAAATTCATCCAAAGAAGAAACTTTTCAACAGACTGTCCAGCAAGGCTGCAACATAAATAGCTGGGGAGTTGTTTTAGCATAAACATGGCAATTTTAGATTTAAAAAAACACTTTCCAGACACTATAAAAATGGTTCATTACTGGTTAAGATTTGAAATTAGAACCCAGGCCCACACACAAGATAAGCTCGAATATAACATAGTTATCAACGTCCAAACAACTACCTAGACATGTTCAAAATATTGGAAGGATGAACAGCTCACACTTGCTGATTTAGACAGCCCTTGTTTTACATGTTTTACAAGAGTGACAACTTGAGTATCATAAGTCCAAATCTTATATTTACAGACTTAAAACGAGAAAAAGATAACCAGTTGGAACTTTGGTGGACCTGTTTCTTCAACACACTATCCCCCAATTCAAGAAATAGAGAATTAAAAACAGAAACAAAAAGCAAATATTGTTAATGGTATACTCACCTGCCCTCCACTAACAACAGGGCCAAGCCTGCACCCTTCTTCAAGAGGATCTGCAATCTTGATGTTTTTGCACCATTGCACAAGCCTATCCAAAAACTTTGCTGCAATGTTTTCCTGAAACAAGGTGCAAGGAAATTAATACAGTAGTATAAGCTTGCTTAAGATGGCACCATGAATAAGCTTCTAGGGAAACCACATTCAACTACCCACGGGAAAGTGGCACAATTGATGATGTTGTAGCACAAAAGTTAATTATCATGCATGAACCGCGCGGTCTAGAATTGTTTGAATTTACGTGTAATATCCACTTAGTTTAAAAAGATAAACCATCATCCGTGCAACAGAGAAGGAACTGACAAAAAGTGATGTATCATCTTGCTATCATACTTACATGTATTATAAGACGAGATGTTGCACTGCAAATCTGACCATTTGTCCAAAAGATACCGAAGGCAGTCCATTCAGCAGCTGTTTGAGTCATAGAGTAAACAATTACCATTATAGTACCAGGAATAGTATCTTTTTTCAATTCACTTTAGATTCATAGATTTTCTCCCTATACAACTAGATCCTGATGGAAGTATATAGTTATAAAAAAACAAGTAAGTCTAAAAAGTAGCCTTCATGAGGAACTAACCCTTGTCGATATCAACATCATCAAAAACAACAATTGGGCTTTTCCCACCAAGCTCCAGTGAAACAGGCTGCCAAACACCATCGGAGATGGTATATGAAGTTCAAATGAAGAGAACAAATGTCACAAATATAAATGAACAATTATCAGATTACAAAGCCTTGACTGTACCTTCACCAATTGGGCTGCAGCTGTCATAATCTTGCTCCCAGTCATAGTACTTCCGGTAAACGCAATCTGTTGAATATAAGTTTATTGCTATTACCGCCGCACAGCTAAAACAACCCAAGATGTCACAACTAACAAATTTACAGGATTACAAGAAGATGTATTCGTAGAATTTCCAACTACAGATTAGCAAGGAAAAACCCGAACCTTATCAACATGGGGATGAGATGCCAAAGGAGCACCAGCTTCATGGCCCAGCCCAGTCAGGATATTGAGGACACCAGGAGGAAGACCGACCTCTCTACACACATCAGCTAGCTCCAAACAAGTCCTAAAATTGATTGATAACATGATGATAGGCATACAATGTACAAAAGCAACATAAGAGCTGAAGAAAGTATATATAAAGTTATAAACCAAAAAGGGACATACACAGATGCCAACTCAGATGGTTTCAATATTGCAGCACACCCAGCAGCTAAGGCAGGAGCGACTTTCCATGTAGCCATTAACAAAGGGTAGTTCCTTAAACATAAAAACATAAGCACTTCATCACCATATAAATAATAAAGATGCTTCTTAATAACACTGGAAGGCTATTTACAAGATAAACCTACAATATCTAAAGATTGTCGTTGCTAGCGGGACCACTGGGACAATTCACAATCCAAAATTTAAGGTTTACACATGAAAATTTACTTTACAAACAGGTTAGTGCAACCACCAAGGAAGAAAATCTTACTAAAATTGAATGCATACTCATTTAATATAAAGAAGCAGCAAATACCATGGTGTAATTAACCCAACAACGCCAATGGGCTCCTTAAGGACATGGCTCTTAAATTGCTCCATAGGAAGAGAAATAGGAGTCTTTTGCTGTGCATCCAAACCTTCAGCAAGGTCTGCATAGTACTCAAAACAACCAGAAACATCATCCTGCGTTGCATGTGCCAGAACATAAGACTTTATGCATGATAAATAACAATTCAAATTGTCAGAGAATCACAAGCATACTATGTCCCATGCAGCTTCATCCAATGGTTTTCCACAATCAATTGCTTCGAGCTTGGCTATTTCAGATTTTCTCTCTGCTATCTGCACGCAAACAAAAACAAGAAAATCTTAAGACATCTGAACACGACCAAATCTTTGAAAGATCATTATGGAAGTTAGAAAATCAACAATTGTCCAAGAAAGAGACTTGAAAGAAACACGAGGCAGTTAATCAAAATTGTTCCGTTCAGACCCATTTCTTCTTGAATGTTAAAATATCAACCTCCAAACATATGAATCGAGACAAGTATATAGCATAACAACTACAACTATCGGTTTCCCCATACGCTTTCAACATCCAATTCAAGACCCGATTAATTTAATTGACAACAGAGCCAATACCTTAGCAGCAATAGCGCGCAAATACTTGGCACGAACAGCCCCAGGCGCCAAGGCCCAGTCTCTCCCCTTGTTCCTGGCAAGGGCTTTCCGAGCAGCCTCCACCGCAATCTCCACATCTTCAGCAGTAGCTGCAGGTATATCCCCTGCATCCACACATTCCACAACCAGTTCACGTATCGGATTTAATTAAGATTACAAAACCCATCACTTCTTTCCATCGTTTATGTATAAACACAGATAGCATAGAAATTTGAAAGAAAAAAAAAAGAGACGATCTTTGGATCTCCCATTAGAAGATCAAGCGCGAATCGAATACCCAGCACTCTATTTTACGAATCTAATAAAATGTTTTACGAAAACAAGTTCTGGGTCAGTAAATAAAGCCAATTTACATTAAATTTATGCTCAAACTCTTCAGCTACTAAATACATCAAACGATCAAATGCCATGATTAAACAGTAAATTAAATTTAGAAAAACAACCCAGAAATTAATTTAATTGACAAAAATGCTCAGGGTGAGAAAAAGACCGATGATTTGTTCAGTAGCAGGATTGATGATTGGGATGCGTTTCTTGAGGACCGGTTCTCTCCACTCGCCGTCGATGAACAGCTGCCGACTCGGTATTTGGATCGCCATTTTTCAGCTCTCTCTCTCTCTCTCTCTCTCTGCGCAGTGATAGAGTGATAAGCAGAGGCCGGGCTAAGCAGCAACGTGATGTGACGTTCTTTGGTGGGATTTTCTGGAATCGCTGAAATTGTTGAAAAATAGCAAATCCCAATAATGCATAATCTAGACGTGCAAGCTACCGATAGTAGCCTGTGAAGTTTTTTTTTTTTTTTTTTTTTTTTTTTTTTTTTTTTGGATAACTAGGATCAGAACAAATAACAAAATATCATGCATTTGAAATTTTTATTTGACCGTGAATATTAGTTTGAGATACTGTTACATTTTAAAATTGAGATACTGTTATATTTAAAATAAGAAAATTAAACGCTTAGTTTTGAGATAGGGAAAAACGTTCCAATTACTTAAATTAAAAGCCGTCCAAAATATTATTTTTCACGAAATAATCACGTAACTTGTTTCTTAAGAACGAATACAACATAGCAACATGAATATATACTCAAATAGTTATTTCTCTAAAGTCCAGTTCATTACATATTTATTGTACCCGGAACACGAGTGGTACACCACGTGTTACTATACAAGTGGAATGATGTTTTATTTTTTCATTTGTTAATTTTTTAACACAAGTATCTCACCATTTATATAGTGACACAAGTGGTGTAGCACTCTGTGTTTCAGACACACTGAAATATATATTAACCTTTTTATTTTATTCAACATAGTTGAATTATTTTCTAATTTTTCATTTTTTTCAAATTCTTCTGTTCAGGGACTTGGAGGAGGTGGCTCAAACCAACCATAAGGTTGATCTGATACATATTCAGTAACTTGCTTGATGTTCAAGTAAAGCTCAAGTCCCCTGTTGCACAACAGAAAAACGGAAATACCATCATTACCCTTCCCCTAATCAAAATCATAACACAATATTAAAATTAAATTAACATAAGATTAAGAAACTGTACCATTCTCCTAATTCGCGGCTGAAACCGCTTCGTTTGTAGCCTCCCCATGGAGCCTGAATGAAGGATGGTTGTGAGCAATTGATCCATACAACTCCTGCTTGAACGCCCTGCAAAGCATCACACCAACAAAATGACACACAATTCGTAACCAAATTATCAAAATTATGCCATTAATATTCCTCACGTCATGTATATAACGTGATGGAAGAGATACTAAAAAGGAATATACAACCAATTATATGCAATGTTCTAAAAACCACTAGGCTGTAGTCAAACGGTGGAGAAGGCCGTAGCGCCCAAGGCCCTAGACAGGGCTTAGGCGAGTGATTATGCAGATTTTTTAACAACTTCCATTTAGAGATTTCTGCCGATCTGCAGCCCACCCAACCCACGCGTTGCCTGCCTAGTTCCCTGCCAATTTTTCTAACGATTCGGCCTTAATCATGGCAGTGGCATTACGCCAGTGCTTATACGCCGCCTAGAGCGATTGTTAGAACACTAACTTATAATATCTTATCAGTCTTACCGTAGCAAAGCGCTCACACTTTTCTAAATCTTTTGACATGACAGCAGCACCTAAGCCATAACTGTCAAAGGAAGATCAAACAAACGTCAAAGGAAGATCAAACAAATGTGGGTAGTAAGGAGACTATAAGAGGAAGAAATTGACCGAAAGAAGGAAACGGGGCTAAAAAGAAGAGGAGATTCAACTCACGGGCTGTCATTTGCTAAGTCAAGGGCTTCCTCTTCTGTATTGAATGTTTTGACACAAAGAACCGGCCCGAGAAATTCCTCTCTCCATATTTTCATGGCGCATGTTACTTCAGTTACGACAGTCGGTTCGATGAAGAATCCCTTCTTCAGATGCTGCCATTGCCATCCTTTTTTTTAGCAGTCTCAAGTTTTTGATACAGAATAAAGTCATGTAACATGTATAGGTTAGTTTATACCTCAGGACGATTCCCGCCGTACAGAACTTTTGCTTTTGCACTTCTAGCCCCTTCGAGGTACTTAAATATTTTCTCATACTGAACCAAATGCAGTGAAGATTAGATAACACTCACTTGGATCGTAAACTTCAGAACGAAATTTAAAGCTTTTCGTTGTCTCAAAAGACAAACACAAACGCGTTCACTCGCTCGCACACGGAGAATCTCACATAAAATGCAGAGATTGTTGACAGTCGATTTACCTGCCCTTTACTAACAACAGGGCCAAGCCTGCAACCTTCTTCCAGAGGATCGGAAATCTTGATGAGTTTGGTCCAGTCCTCAAGCCTGTTCACAAACTCCATAGCAATGCTTTCCTAAAGTCGAAATGTGAGGGATTAATTAGTACTCTAATAAATATCTATGTAACTTAGAAGGGACTAACAGAAAGTAATGTAGCATCGATCACGCTATTATACTTACCTGCACTATGAGACGGGAGGTTGAGCTGCAAGTCTGACCACCTGACGAACATATACCGAAGCAGGTCCATTCCACAGCTGTTCAATTGAATCATAGAGTGATAGAGAGTTAACATAACAGTACCATCATCCGGCAGCAGTACTATATCTATATGTTTATTGTTTTTCTAACATGTTTCAATCAGATGCGCGTGCATGTCCTATCCGTGCGCAACTAGTTTCTAACGGAAGCAATTTATTTGCCCAAGAGGTACTAACCCTTTTCCATATCAGCATCATCAAAAACAACAATGGGGCTTTTCCCTCCAAGCTCCAATGCAACAGGCTACAAAGAAACCGCATAGGAGAAAGTATGCGAAGATTTAACGAAGAGAATGAACCCCGAAAACAAAATGGATCAGTTATCACATTAGAAAGATTTTAAGTTTTTCAACCTACCTTGACCGATTGAGCTGCAGCTGCCATAATCTTGGTCCCGGTGAGAGTACTTCCGGTAAATGAGATCTGTTGAATATTAATCACATAGCAATTACAGCCTGGTGGCTAACAATTCAGAACATCTTACAATCATCGAGTATGCAGAAATTCAAATAACATAATTAGTAAAGAGAAAAAGCTGAACCTTATCAACATCTGGATGAGTTGATAAAGGAGCGCCGGCTTCATTGCCTAGTCCAGTCAGAATGTTGAGGACACCGGGAGGAAGACCAACATTTATACACACCTCAGCTAGCTCCAAACAAGTTCTAGAATCGATGGATAACACAAATGGTACGCATATATGTGAAAAATCAAGATACCAATTGAGTACTACGTATGTATAAAGTATAAACCAACCAGGACATACACAGATGCCAACTCAGACGGTTTCAGTATAGCAGTACAGCCAGCAGCCAAGGCAGGAGCTACTTTCCACGCAGCCATTAACAAAGGGTAGTTCCTTAACATAATAGATAAGCACTTTTGGTTGAGCACTTTTGGTTCCTTAACATATAAATCATTATTAAGATGCTTCAGGCTTCTTTTGAAATAAAGATGCTGCAACATACCATGCTGTGATCAACCCAACAACCCCGACCGGTTCCTTAAGAACATGAGTTTTGAACTTCTCCGTGGAAAGAGAAACCGGAGTTTTTTGCTTTGCATCCAATCCTTCGGCAAGGCCTGCGTAGTACTCGAAACAGCTTACGACTTCCCCCTGTATCGAATTTGAGTTAATTAGGTGCCATGACATGACATAAGACCTTATGCATCATGCCGTAAGCAATAATTTCAATATTTGTCACTAGCATACTATGTCAGAAACAGTTTCATCCAGTGGTTTTCCGCTATCCATTGCTTCGAGTTTGGCTAGCTCGGTTTTTCTCTCGTTTATCTGCATCAAAAGTACTAAAAGCTTAAGACATCTCTAACAATTTCATTACAGTGAGAGTTATTCAAAACTATTTGAAAGATTAGAAGATCGAAACACGATCAGCAGTAATACTGTTTTAACATGCAACTGATGATAACCAGATTGATCATTTCAGAGACAATGTACCTTAGAAGCAATAGCGCGCAAATACTTGGCACGAGAAGCCCCTGGCGCAGAGGACCAATCTTTCCCGTTGTTCCTGGCAAGGGCTCTGCGAGCAGCCTCCACAGCAATCTTCACATCACCAGCAGTAGCTCTGGGAATATCCCCTGCATCACACATTCCCACAAATCAACCACTAATTCACATATCATTTCATCGAAACCCCTATCCAGAAGTGCTTTTGGGATGGCTAATAGCGTTTTCATATAATCCAAAGCACTTCTAACAGTTGTTGTCTGAAAAAAGTTTCAAAAAGTTAAACGTGTTTCTGGATTGAAACACTTCTAGTAAAAGCGCTTGTGAGCACAATTGCTTTCTAGAGAAACATTTTCTCAAACGAGCCCTAACTTGGAAAACAAGTTACAAACCACAAATCAGTACTTCCACAATCAAAATAAAAAAGCATAGAGAGTCGAGGAAGAGAGAGAGACCAATGGTTTCCTCAGTGGCAGGGTTGATGATCGGAATGCGTTTCTTGAGGACCGGTTCTTTCCACTCGCCGTCGATGAATAACTGCCGGCTCGGAATTTCTACCGCCATTTTTCAGCCAGCTCTGATGCTCTTCCAAACTGTAACAAATTAATTGTTAGGCTAGTGAGTGAACGAGGTGATTCGAATTGGATCGGATTTCGGATTGAAAATTCTAATATTAGTAGTATGAAATCTGAAAGTGCGGATCGCGTGAAGAGGATTTCAACAGCTGAAAACTCGAACAAAGAAGAGACGGTATTTCCGGTGCCTACGATGCTTCACTAAAAGAGAGCTCTCTTGAATTTTCGCGGGAGGAACGAGGGTCGTTGGCTTTTTTCATTTGATTAATTAATTTGTTTATTAGTTTATTAGTTTAGAATTAGCCGCGATTGATTAGGACTTGTTTGTATTCTACTGTGATCCAATTTTTTAAACTCAAAAACAGTTTTCAAAGTTTATGCTTTGAGTACTTGTTTGGTAGGACAATTTTAAACACTATACTAAAATCAACTTAAAAATTTGTCTACTTGTTGAACACATTAAAAAAGAGTTTTTAGAGTTTTTAAAATTATACTCAATGTTTTTCTCGAAATATTTTATGTACTTCTCTCTCCCCTGACACTCTCTCTCATCTTTCTCCTTCACCTCTTTCTACCTCTCTCTCTCATCCGATCCTCTCTCGTCTTTCTCCCCCTCTCAACCAATTCTCTCTCTCTCTCTCTCTCTCTCTCTCTCTCTCCTTTGCTACTCTCTCTACTTTCTCCCTTCTCTCTTTGGATTTCCATGTTCACTTTTGGATTCAACAACTACAATATATAATATTATCGGGTGAATTATTGATTTAGTCCCTAATTTATCACGTGAGTGAAGATGGAGTTCCTGAATTTCATTTTCAGAAAATTAAGTTCGTAAACTCTTAAAATTTGGCAATTTCATCCCTATCATTAAGTTTGAAACTATTCTATTTAAACTTTCCGTCAATTTAAGTCACGTGATGAACACAACCTGTCACATCCCCGCTCGGGGGGGGGGGTGGGGACCACTTTCCGGGCCCGCTCCACCATCGTAGTACGATATTGTCCGCTTTGGGCCCCGACCACGCCCTCACGATTTTGTTTCTGGGAATTCACGAGCAACTTCCCAGTGGGTCACCCATCCTGAGAGTGCTTTGGCCTCATTCTCGCGTAACTTCGGAATTCCTACGGAACCCGAAGCCAGTGAGCTCCCAAAAGGCCTCGTGCTAGGTAGGGATGAGAATATACATTTAAGGATCACTCCCCTGGACGATGTGGGATGTTACACAACCACTTTAAAGGTAATGCTATCTTATCTTCTTTTTTCTCACCGATAAGCCCTTAATGTTAGATATAAATCATGAATATAATTACAAATTTACTTTCTAAAGTTAACTTTATACATTTTTTTCTGAATAAATAAGTACTTAAACTCATTACAAACTACCAATCTATACACAAACGTGTATCACATACAAGTCACGTGACTTGAATTAATAAAAAAATGTATAAAATACCTTCAAATCTAATAATAGGAATGAAATTTGCAACTTTTAAGAGTTTAAAGACAATCTTTTGGAAAAAATAATCTTAAGGACCAAATTTTCATGCGGATATTAATTATGAGATTAAACCGCAGTCAGAACCAAAAGCGTAATTAATCTGAAAAAGGTTGGTGGGTTGCTACAAGAAACCAAATTAGGAACATTAGCAATTTGTTACCTCAACTTATTTACCAAAAAAATAAAGACTTGCAATCTGAACTTGTACTCTGTACCTATATTCCCTCATTCGTTAATGGATGAGATTCTCTTTACTTTTTTCTTTTCATCTTACTACAAGATGAAATCCTAAGCGTTCAAACAAAAAGGAAGAAAAGCAGAGAAAAAAAAATGGAGATCATCCTTGTCCATGAGTCAATTATGATATAATCTTTCATTAATTTCATCGCGTGCAATGAATATGACCAACATTCATTATTCATATCTTGCTTCAGACATTTATGAGAATATACGTTAACAAAATATTCAAACAATAGCCAACAGGATCCTCTCTGGATCTTTTGGTGAAGATTATAGAGATTCGTAAATTATGTATGTTTATCGTACATTGTGTGATTATTTTTTATCAGGTATTGTTTGTATTTAATTTTAAATAAAAATATTTAAAATCATTTCTAACCACACGATGAACAAATATGATTCACAGATTCCCGAATCCTCACAAAGAGGATCCGGATTTGAACAATAGTTCTAAAGTGTGGCTATTATATGATTATTCTGAAAATACATGACATTTTGGAAACAGTAATTCATTCGTTCTAATCAAACTTTGAGATTTATGCATAAATAAATAATAAAAATCACAAGAAAAAATGTGTTCACAAGTGTTACATGTAGTTCAATATTCCAGTGATTACAGTGTTGGGAACTATTTCCCCTTTCCTTAATAATAATAATTTAAAAAAAAATGTATACACAAGTGGCATACAGCGAGGAATGGCTAATTTCTATGCCTGAGCGAACACATGATTCAATCGTTCGAACGGTAGAATTTCTCCATTTTGGCGGGTTAGACCCGACCCGGTAAAACTGGCTTGGACCCGATTCTGATCTTCTAATCTCAGCTCCAAATTATTATAATACTCTCAAATATAAACTTAAATTATAATTCATAAGTGAATTAGTAACGATCATAGAAAAAATTCAGTGAACCCGAAAACACTGTTTAGCAATTTTACCATTTCATGAAAATCAATAGGCACCGTGCCAAATATTCCAAATAGGATTTAACTTCGCTACTAAGAATTCAGCAGCAGCTGCTGTTTACATATAATTCTGACTAGACACGTATTCGAGTTTTGATTAAAAAATCAAAACTTGAACACATGTCCAATCGGGATTAGGTGTAAGGAACAGCAGCCAAGTCCAGTTCTTCCAAATACACCTAAACAATTGTCAACAGTAGAACCAAGAAATTTGCTTCACCGGATCAATAGAAATAAAATAAATGGAATAATATTAAAAAATGATAATAATTGGATAAATATGTATATTTCTGGTAGCCTTCTACGCTAGATTCATGCATTTATCATCAAAATATCATACAAGTTTATTTGTACAAACGAATTACCAATAACAAGTCACCCTACAACGAAACTAGAAGCTCAAATCATATTTCAAAAACCAAGCAATTAAAACTCTGTATCAAGAAATTAACAAGAAAATTCAAAATCAACGCTTCTGGGTAACCTTCTGGCACTTTTCTTTGATCCAGTGGAATCCAGCGGAGGCGCCTTCCTTGACCTTCTTAGCGCCGACCGAAGCCACCGCCTTGGTCTTCACAAGGCCTTCCCCGACCTTCTGCTTGTACTTTGCGGCGGTCCCGCCGTCGCTGCTGCCCTTGGGTTCGACGGGGTAAGAGGAGTTGTTGTAATCCCACTGATCCGCCCACGAGCCCTCGTGATTCGCTTTGCCTCCGTTCATGATCGCTCTCGAGGAATTGAAGCTGGAATTAATCGGCGGAAGAACTCGATCGATTGGGGACGGTGAGAAAATCGGATTGGGATTTTGGGGGCAATTCAAAATTTCTGGAGAGAAGTAGAAACGTGATATGGGAGGAGGGGCTTAACGTATGATTTTATAGGAGTTGGTCAAAGTTTAGGAAATATAAAATCGATAGGAGTTGGACCAAATATTAAATTCGGACGCGTGCTGGGGACTTAAATGGAAAAATAATATATACAATGTATTGGGACACGTATGGCTGATTTGTATTTGAACATTTCACTCTACCCTTTTTCATTTTTCATGACAAGAATACCCTTATCTCCTTTTCCAATTTTAATTTCTTTCAAGAGTGAATGGAATATTGATGATAAGTCGTTTTTTTTTATTCGAATGATATTATAAGTGCAGTGCATGAGAAATTTTCAGTCAATATTGGACATGTATCTAAAGAGGAAGAATCTATATTAATCACGATGCGAGAGTCAGTTTGTACATCAAGGGAGGCTGCAAGATTGTAAGCAGTTGTAACAGGGACTGACCCGAGCTATAGACAAAGAAGGACTTTGATGTATAGAATAAGGTACTCGGACATTAAAAAGAGGTTACCATACAATTTTGCTTAACACACTATCCTTGAGTTTGGATTTAAAAGATCTTAGAAGTCCAAAACCTAAAGGCAGAGCGCATTGCATTCACGTTCGTCAGTATAATCCATTACTCACTTTTTATAAATGAATGTTGTGTACTAATTGACTTGCTTATTGTAAAGTAAAGAAATAATGGTTATCTGATAAATACATACTTTTTATTTTTCACATGCTAATTGACTAATGTTATTTTTGATTTTATTTGATTTATTCAATACTGCTACCGTGATTCATCTTCTTCTAGGAAATTTACAATTTTCTCCGGACGAATTTTTGGTCAACTAGCTCCTCCTAACTATAGGTTTATGAATTACTGATTATTCAACCCATAAGGGCAATTTTGTAAGTAAACTTAACCGTATATTTCTCAAAAGCCTTCTGGAACAATCCAGAACAAAGACTTTTGACCCATAAACTCTCACACCGTCAGGCCCACAGACGCTGATAAAAACTGATAATAAAAGGACCTGCTCTAATCCGGATCCTCGTCGTATCCTTTTTGCGAGGATCTCAAAAATCAATGAATTAAGTTTGTTCATCGTACATTTTGCAGTTAGAAATCATTTTAAATATTTTTATTGAAAATTAAACACAAATAGTACTTGATAAAAACTAATCGCACGATATACGATGAATAAACACAATTTACGAATTTTTAAAATCCTCATAAAAAAGATCCGCAAAAAATCCTGTTGGGACCTGCCCAGTAGAGTCGAAATTTCTTGGCGGCTTTCTTCAACGTCAAGCTCGTAACCTCAAAACTTCACCGATCACGATCCATTTTTCAATATATTACGTGGTATTATATTTCCAAGTCAAAGCTAGAGTTCCCATCAAATGACACGGTACATGATCTAACTTTTGATAAGGATGTCAAGATTCAAATATAAAAAATATTGAATGTTGCTGTTGATGGTTGTTCATTCTTTAATCTATCATTTTATAATATATTTAAACGTTTATCTTTTAGGTCTTTTTAAAAGGTTATATTTATAAAAAATCACAAAAATCCAAAATCATGTAACTGATGGATTAAGAGTTTAGGGTTTCTTTATAAAACTATATTCGTCTATTTTCTTACTTACAAATGAATGTCTTAATAGTTTTATCTATCTAGGTTTTTGCAATAATGATCTATGAATGGTGTTATAGACGGGTCAGATCGTTAAATACAATTATGGAGTTAGTCTTACAAAAATGTGTGTCAAAAGTTGTGTAAAAAAAAGTGATGTCATAGATTTGCCATTTAAAAAATGCATATGACCACCAACTGATAGTCACTAATACTATTCACAAAGTATGATTTAAATAAATGATCCCACTAGCATCATATCGTGTAAAATATATATACTCAACCAATAGAAGCACGAGTCAAACAATTTTTGTGTATACATCAAAATAATAAACTTAAATGATAAAGAAAGTTTTATATGTGAGATCATGAATATATTTGAATAATAAATAAATATAAGGCATCTTGATTTTATATGTGTAGCCACACAGACACGTTATTCGTCATTCAATCTTAATTTTTTTTTTGTAAGACCCATAATGATGTGGTAAACAAATGACTTTTTTTTCTTCTGGTTTTTGAACAAACGAAGAGTACTTTCAGTAAACCGTAGTACCAAGTAGCAACAAATAACTTATTTTAAAAATGAATAAAAAAGAAACATAAAAATAGGGTTTTGTTGTAAATGTCTATGAAGTATGCCAAACTTATCAATATTTTTTTTAAAATTATGATTATTAAGGGCATGGTAATGGTTTGAAACTATTACTATAGCTCCTGAGAGGAGGAAGTTTCGAACCCGAAACAGCATGGACGGAAATGGGATGCATTGCCACTCTCATCAGTTTAATTACCGAAGAAAACGGCAATCCATCACACAAAGTCTTCATATCCATATTATTCAAACACATTATAATTACAATCTCGGATAAGCAGCTTCATTAAGTGGTTGTATGTCAGAAGCACTTCCTAATAAGTACTTATCAAAAAGCCACCGGGATGTGTTGAGAGCGTTTCCAGTACTTTTCACAGGAAACGGCTTCCTGCTGTTTTGCCAATCATTCGTCAGCTTTATCCACTCCCTCCTCCAATCCTTCAATCCAAACTCGCCGCCCTCCTCCAAGCTTTTCGTTAAATACTTGAAATATATAGCTGCTCGAGGGCCATAATAATCGCGTAGAAGCCCGCTCCAGTACTTGTTTCCTGCACGAAAAAATCGAAAAGACAGATGTTTACAGCAATGTATATGGATGCAGATCGCAGACGGTTCAATGTTACATCACTTGTCATACCATAGTCGCGAAGCAGACTTGCTTCCTCCTCCGTGTTGTCGAACCACATTGTTATCTGTGTTCTAGCATTCCACTCAAACTGCATTTTCGGATCACATCAGATGAAAAGACAAAATCTTGTTTTCCTTGCTAGCATAAGTTTATTTAGGGAATGTAATTCAATGGGGATTCGAACCTGTTTTTCCTGTTCTTCGTCCTGTGCGAGTTTCTTCGCACTTTCCAACCAGGGTCCTAGGAGAAATCCATCGTGGCAGGCTAAGAGTACGTCCATGTCTTCAACTAGGTCTAAAAACTTCTTGCTGTCGCGTGCCACTCCGAGGACATCATTTGAGTGATAGGCCTCTATGACCTTTAGAAAGAGCTGGTTTGCATATTTAGATAAGGCTTGTCTAGTCAGATCAACAAGATCATACCTGAGCAGTACAGTTAAAATGTCAAATAGAACTAATACAAAAAGTTTAAGTGGGAAAAAGCTAATGCGCGTGAGGTTTTTCGTACTCAAAGGGGCTAACCTGTAAGCACTACTTTCTGAGAGCTCATCTCCACTTGCAATAAAGAGTTCTAATGCATGTATTACTTCAGAAGTTGAATACCATAAATGAGGTCGATCGAACGAATCAGTTACTTCCTTGAGGACTGCACTTCCTGCTACTGGTTTCTCATTTTGATGACGACCTTCTGACAGTGTTGATATTAAGGATGGATCAACGTCGGGAAATGCCACAATCACATCCCTGTTTTTGTCCTGTTTTAGTAGGAACTACTAGTTATGGCATCAATGCACTAACAAAAATTTGAACTAACATGGAATCCAATTGAAAAGTTGTGTGGGAACAAGATTGAGCCAATGCAATCTTGCAAAAATTGAAAAGATAAAAATGTTTTTCGAGGTAATAACTAGCGAGAAATTATCCTACAGATGAAGATACTAAAAGAATTTAAGCTGGGAACTTACATAGGCACCATCAGTGCAGTTATAGATGGTATGATATAGTATATTCCAGGCATCTTGTATTGAAGGAGTTGAACGGCCATAACGTCTGGCAGAATATTGATCAATCCAGGCCTGAAATCGGAATGAGTGAATGATTTTTCGGTTTTATATCCTAATCACCAGTTACAAGTCACAGGTATCCTAACGTTCAACGGGATTAGGAAACAACTTAAGCTTACCTTAGCATCAACTTTGTTGTGTTGAAAAGCCATCTCAGACATGAGATCATAAACAACAGGATTCTGTTCTATACCTTCCATTGACATTCCGACACCAACCTTCAGAAAAAGTAATCGATAAGATTAATCATATGAAGATACAATGTAGTTAAATGAAGGCGTTTAACATGTGTTGATGCAAAGCCTAATCAAAGATTACTAAACAACTTATAATATCATGACTACGCGAACTTTTTATGGGTGGATACCATTGTTGAGTTTTCACTTATACGAGCATTGATTGGTCCAGATGCAATTGCATCCAAAACTCCGTACATCTCAACATTTCCTGCAAAATTGTGCAGCATACACCTGTAATACAGAACTCCGACAAATCAAATAAGAATCTTCAGAGAAGAAGAAAGAGCATAGATGAACTTAAAATGTCCCTCTGCATTATACACTAAAGGACTTATAGCAGCTTAAACTTCAAGATGGACATAATTGTCAAGGTTTAGACATATGACTTTCCAGATATAAGGAACACCATAAAACTGCTCCGTAGTACTCCATATAGGTTTCACTTCAGCAAACAGATCAAGTACTACCAGCTTCCCCGTGGGAACGGAGTGTAAAAGTGCCTGAAATAAGCACATTTCACTGTCAACCAAAGCCAAGAAAAAAGGGAGCAAGAAAGATACGAAATTAAAATGGCTTACGGTTGGAGAAAATAAATTGTAAATCTAACCTTCATTTGTGGAGGCCTCCAGAATGGATCGTATGAAAATAACCACCCCTGGAAACTCATTAGCATACCAAACAAAAAGTGAGCAGATCTGTGCATAATTGCATTGAGGACGCATCGTAACTAACCATATTCTCATAAAACATATGGCTTGGAGATAATTCCTTTTACCTGCATTAACCAGACACCTTCCTTGTCTCCACTTTGCATACCCCTAAAGATTGCTGCACCTAATGAAGATATGTACTCCGGAGCATCGTCAGGTGGAGTATTCTCATCAAAAGT